ACAGTAGTAGCCGACACGTCCTATATATATATTTTAGCCAGTGTCAACTTCTTATTTTCTTTTTACCAAAATCTTTAACATGACTGGCTACACACCGAATATTTTTAATGTATAACTTGTCTTTTTATTTTACCTCTGTACCTAGAATGGCAAGCAAAGACGATGGGATTATCTTAAAGTTCATAATAGGTAAGGTGAGCCCCGGCGGAGGGGGTACTCCCAGAGAAATTTGGTGGGGGTGTTCCGCCCGCTTCCCAAATCCCTTACCCTATATTTATGACCAAAATCTGCGATTTTCCCAAGTCTATTTATGACCTCACCAAAAATTCGATACCTTTTTATGACAGTTGCGGCTGACACAGTTGCCCTAAACATAATTTTTGAATGGCTTTTGCTTATGGTCTTATCGATAATGATAAAAAAAGTAGCTTCTTTTAAACAACATACCAGATTCAAGACTAGAGTACAAAAACCATACCCTATTTAAGACCAAAATGGCCAAAATCGATACCCTGTTTATGACGCAAACGGCTGAAAAACTATACCTTTTGGGGCCGCACATACCTATATAGTCCATATAAGGGAGCACCCCCCCCCCTCTCCCCCCGAGGTGAAGATTTTGTATTTTTGCATGCTTGTTTCAATTACCTGTCGTGCACGCGCCGTTCCCAGAGGTTGCGATCCTTTTGGTCAGCACAAAGCAATCGAGACCTCAGGGAGAAACCGGAAGATGAGCCAGCATTAGGCACAGCGGTTACTCTCTCTACGCATGTTCAGAAACATTCTCGTTCCCAGTGCTACCTGTTTTAAAATGTCGTTACGAGTGTTGAATCGAAGACGAACTGCATAAACAACTCGCGTTTACCTGAGATTCCATTAAACTATCTCGTCATCATACATTGTTTTCCTAAACTAAAGTGGCGCAAAAGAAATGCATGTTTTCATCTATTTTCAAACTGTTTTTACACTCAAACGGTTTTGCGGAGCTCAAGAAAAACTTGTTTTGGCGGGCATCCTGTGCCGTAATAACTTCCAGTCGCTTCAATCCGTGCATAGGGCTGTTGAAGAAGTAAGTCGGTGTGCTGAAGTACCCTGAAGAGATTAAGGAATTACAAAGCGCAAAAACACAGACATTGAAAAGGTTGTTTGGCCGCATTAGGCATGTTGACGCGCGCGTGCACAAAGTCTTTGACGGGCGAGTAGTTCCAGTCATTAGAAATTACTGAAATTTCAACCAAATGTACAGGAACTCGTCAACAAATCCTTTGCATTGCGACCTGCTTTATGCAATACTGACTAAGCATGACCGTTTTTTCTCCAGTGTGTCTGCGTTGATATTCAATACTACAAAAAAGGTTTTCATCCTTGTGAAGCAGTTCAGACCAGGTGATTGAACAGTACAGTACAGTGAACTTCACTTAACTTCACAATTATCAACTAATTTATAGTTACACAGTAAATGGTTTGAACCCAGGAGTATCAGTAGTTCGTATGGTGTGATCGTCCGGGTGAGTGTAGTTCTGAAAAGAACTGTTGTTGGTGACTGACGTTTCGACAACCTGAGCGGAAGTCATCTTCAGAGTCAAGTGAATGGCGTTTGTCAGTCGATGACGTTATAAGTCTGGTCCGTTGAACGTGATTGGTCAGTATAGCCATGATGGTATT